GAGCATCTTTGATCGCGTAACTCTTGCGTTGCGCGGCGACCTCGGGCATAAGCGGGACAGGCGTCTTCAACTGGCGGACACTGTCTTGAAGCGTCGAGCTGAGTATGCATTTGCTTATCTTGAGAACGAGAGAGCTTTGACATCTCTGCGTAACGAGCTAAGGGTAGCTAGTGGGGATATTGATCGGTCTCGGGATGAGATAGCTGCGCAATCAGACCCTTGTTAATGCCCACCATCGGGAGCACAAGGCTCTCTGCGAGATGCTTGAGCGCAAGGGCGTTCTTAATCGAAGAAGCAGCGTACTGATGGTACGGCTTAAGCCAACCAACGTAAAACGTGGGATGCGTTCGCATCTTACGTGGTAACTCGATCGTGCATGCGTTGCCTAGGCGGTGCAATACACGAAATTGGCCGATTTACTTGGGTAGAAGTTTACTACTACCCAAGTTAGTCACTACATGCTTTGGTAGATTAAACGTAGACAGTAGGACTAAGTCACCTTTATTAAATAAAAGAGTGTTTGCCCTTCCATTCTTGTCAGCGTTTTGCTTTTGCTTATCCACCGCTTCGGCGATGGAGTCTTGCACAAAACGGACTACCGTTTCACGAGCCAGTATGAACTCATCTGATGACTCGTTAGCTTCAGTGCGCTGTGGGTGCACTGCAGCAACATCAATCTTGTCTTCAATGAGGGCTTCCGCACTCTCACTGGCATCATCTTCTTCGATATCGATGTTATCGATATCGGCATCAAATGCAATGACCTCTTCGTCAGAGCATGATGAGCGTAAACTAAATCGGTTTTTGCTCGCGCGAGTCCCTCCCCCCCTTAAACCAGAGTTACACTCTAGAATGGTGGGTACACGCGGATGGCGTAAGCCATTCACGTAAAACGGTGTATGTGTCGTGGACGCATGCACCGAGTTGTTGATGGCAAACTCTACCATTGGCAAAAACTCACTCCAACTCTTAAAGGAGTGTACGTATCCTCGAAGTATCTCTTCAAGGACACGATTGGCACGTTCCGTCTGACCATCTGACTCTGGATGATCAGATGTTGACATCTTCAAGCGCGTTCCGAGTGATTTGAACACGGAACGCCAGAAATCAGCAGTGAATCGTGGATCTCTGTCTGATACGAGTTCACGGGGCAACCCATGAGGTCGGAAGATGGTGTCAATCAAGACACAAGCACAGCCACTTGCCGTGATTGACTCTGGTACATCCACAAGGTGTACCATTTTGCTGAATCTGTCAACAAATACGAGAATACCCGTATTCCCGCGTGCGTCTTTGAGTAACCCGAAGACAAAATCCATTGAGATGGATTCCCAGCACTCAGCCGAAACCGGTAGAGGCTGTAATGGTGCACGCAGTGAAGGACTTGACTTCACTCGTTGACAGACTTCGCATGCGCGAACATACTTTCGCACAAACTGATACTGGCGGGGCCAGTAAAAGTTTCGACTTACCGTGAGATATGTTTTCTCCCGGCCACGATGTCCTCCTATAGGAGCATCGTGATGCTCGAACATGATCCGCAAACGCAGATCAGTATCATCTGGAATGACAACACGTGGTGTGTCACCAGAAACGGCTGTATAATACAGTAAACCGTTGCGAGCAGTGTATCGATCTGATGCAGATCGATACGCAGGCGACAATCGTTTCAACGATTCTCGGGATGGTTGGGAGAGATGTGTCAACAACTTCACAATATCACCATCTTGGGCATACGCCCGCCTCACATCATCATTCAACGTTGAAGATGGGACTGAGGACGTCATAACCGCAACAGTGACTGTCTCACTGTTGGGTTTCACGACTGGTTCAAAGTCGGGACGACGTGAGAGTGCATCAGCGACGACATTAAGTCGTCCTGGTTTGTACTCGACCGTAAAGTTGTATTCCGCAAAGAATGACAACCACCGCGCCATTCGTTGTGAAAGGTGCGGGCTGTTCACTGCCGTGCGTAATGACGCATGGTCAGTGTAAACAACGAAGGGTCTATCTCCTAATAGATAGACTCTGAACTTCGCGAGTGCATACTTCATGGCAAGGAGTTCCTTGTCATGCACTGGATAGTTCCGCTCAGCTGGTTGCAGCTGACGCGGCTGATAGCAGACGACGCGTTCAACGCCTTCAAGATCGTACTGCATTAATGCACAGCCGATTGCGAAATCGCTGGCATCACAGACCACATGAAATGGCCTGTCCTGATCGGCTATTGCTAGGACTGGGGATTGTATCAAGCTCTGCTTGATACCCTCAAAGGAGCGTTGACATTCAGCGTTCCATAACCACCTCTCGTTCTTTTTCAACAAACGAGAGAGGTGCACAGTCATCTCGGCGTAATTGCGTGAATACTTATGCAAATACGCCGCTAGCCCAAGAAATTTTCGAAGACCTTTGACATCGACCGGCACAGGCCAGTCGGTGATCGCCTTGATCTTTTCGGGATCAGGACGTACACCGTTCTTACCAACGATGCACCCAAGAAGTGGTATTTCGCTTGCTGCAAATATACACTTCTTGAGGTTAGCATACAATTGATGCTTTCGCATGATTGTAAGAACCTGTCGGACGTGGTACCTGTGAACCTCAACGTCCGACTTTCCATCCATAGCCCGACTATGGATGAATACGTCATCGAAAATACTTAGCGCGAATTCTCGTACTGGTCTCAACAGATGTGACACACATCTGTTGAACGTGGCAGGGGCGTTACTGAGCCCTTGTGGCATTACTAGCCATTCCCAGAGCATGCCGCTAGGCGTGCTAACTGCGGTATAGAGTATGTCCCGTTCTCGCATGAGGATTTGATAGAAGCCATCCATCAAATCCATGGACGAAAAGATGGTACTCTTTGACATACCATCAATGATTACGTCCTTCCTTGGTATCGGCATCTGAGCCGGTACCGTTGCAGCATTCAACTTGTTAAATGGATGCACTATCCGCCACCCTCCTGTTGCTTTTCGCACACAGAAGGTCGGAGAGCTCTGTGGGGAAGTTGATTCCCTCACATGGCCAGCAGCTAAACGGTCGGCAAGAACTTGTCGATCGCAAGTACTTGTTCAAGAGGCAGTGGACACTGCTTCATGACACAGTACTTCGAGCCTGGTTTAAGCTCGACCTCGTGTCGAACACCTTTATCCTTCGGTAATTCGCACGGAACAGTTTCAGGGAATACATCCTTGAATTCAACCAAATCTTCATAGAGAGAATTTGTCTTGAGCGATTCCCACGATTGGGAGTCATATCGCTCAACTCGTGTCTTTTCATCTGGGACACTCCCGTCCATCGATGAACTACTGAGAACTCTCTCGATCTAAGTGAACACTGTTGCTGACCTTATGTCGCTACACACTCGTCGTCAGCGACGAGTACGCAGATCTGCTTGACTTTGCCACTACGCAGATCACGCAAGAACCTTTTATGTTCTAGCGTTGGCAACTGAATGATCTCCGAAGTCAACTTCGGAGGCGCAATCAGATCAAGTGTATAAGCGCCTACACTTGATCCGTTATTCACTATGACATTCAATGTCTCTGTCATTTCCTGGGGACTTATTCCCTCAGGCCTCGAAGGACTTATTCCTTCGGCTTCCCGGAGACTTATTCCCGCGGGTTTCGAGGAACTTATTTCCGCCGTATTTGTAATATCGGGACTTATTCCCTTTACTTCCTCTAGCTGGGGTTGCGCAACCACAGCGAGATCCTCAACGAAAGACTCTCCAGTCGATCTAGGATTATCATTTTGCTTAACCTGAGCGATCGATTGTTTCTCTTCTGGATGTTCCCCGCTAGGGATACATCTTTGTCCCAGTCCACCCGACTTATTCGAGTGGTGGACCTTCGGCGCAGCCTGTGTTTCCTCACAGCCGCCGGAACTTTGCTCTGAAGTGTAACCGTTTGGTACACTAAGGTTTTGTGCAGTCGTACTAACGACCGTACCACAAGTGAGGCCATCGCACTCACTCGTAGTACATCCACACGCTTGTGGACGCTCCAAAACGTTCATCAGATGGCCATCTGATGAACAAGCGGCAGGCATCGTTACTGTTCGATGTTGCCAGTTTAGCCGTGGTTCGTACCTTCTGAGCCACGGTATTCCAAGGATGACATCAAATTTGTCATCCAAATCCAATACGATAAAGTCATCGTCATAATGGGTATCTTCTAGCGTATAGTGGATCTTCACTATACCCTTCATGACGGTTACGGATGCGCCTGTCGCAAGACGTACCGTCATCCTCGTAGGAGGTGTGTCACATTCACTGAACTTAAAGTGACCATCTTCTAGCGATTGGCGTCGCACAAAATTGTTAGACGCCCCACAATCGACTAGAGCTTGAAGGGACAATATATTCGTCACTTCGAGTTTCAAGGTAATGAGTGAGATCTCATTACCTAGAGCAGCAACGCACAACGTTTGTGTGTTGGGAGCAACCTTCATCAAGAGGCCTACAAATTCTATTGACGTTGCTAGACCAGTAGGGTGCTCCGCACCTACTGATCCTGTCCGTTTTTTGACGGTCCATCCCGTTGTTGCGTCTTTGCACCAACTGCGGACCCTCGTCCCTGCCCCTTTCTCATGGGTGGACGGTCACTACGCCCAGTGTCGCGAGACACTGGACGAGGGGCACTACACTCGTAAGCGTAGTGTCCTGTCTTTTGACATCTGTTGCATCTCTACAACTTCTTGTAGTCTGTAGAGCGAGCCTTCTCACTCTCTACATAACAGAGTTCCATCGGCTCTGGACCTCCGCTATCATATCGTCTCGGTTGACGATACGATGATGTCGAGCTGGCGCGAGCCTGTCTCAGACTGAAGTCTTCCTGCTCCGCAATGGAAATGGCTTGTTCTAGTGAATCTAGTTCAAGCCGGAACAGGTGAGTCTTGACGGGACCATCCGCAAGACCCTGCATGAACACCGAAACCAACGTGTGTTCATCCACCGGATTGGAACTTATACAACTCGTAAGATGTCGTATATGTTAGGCGTAAGCGTGCACATCACGCTTACCCTGTTTGAGCTTCAAGAGTTCGATTCGAGCCCTGAACTCAGCTCTAGGCGGTTCAAACGTTTGTCTGAGCCGCGACTTGAAGACTTCCAACGACCCAAACGCATATGGGTCGTGCAACTTGAGCCCCAGTGCCCAAGTCTTGGCACGTCCTGCCATATTTGACTGGGCAAATGCAACTTGCATATCCCCGTCGTCGATGCGACGCGCCCTTATGGCGTCATCCAATTCGACGAACCATCTCAAGAGGGAGTCTTCTTCGACCCCCCTAAACTTAGAGATGTCAATCTCGGGTCGACGCGAGTGCATCGACCCGCCAGCAGCAGCCTGCTGCTGTCTCAACAGTTCAAATTGTTGAGCACCCTGTTCTCTCAACAACTCTGCTTGTTGAGAACCTTGTTGGTGAAGCAAGGCTACTTTCTCGCGATCGGCGTCAAGTTCATTTTGAATGAACTTGGCGATAGTAGCATGTTGGGCATCTCTATTGAGAGCCTCTAGCATGACGCTAACAGCATGGATGCCCATGGTTGAACCCATCCGTTCAACCGTATCCCATTCGACATTGCTCAAATGGGAGTAGCCGTCACGCGTAGCGTGAAAGCTTTGGTCATCTTCATCATCCAAAATATTCATGTTGGATGTGAACGCGGTCCTTGGACGGACTACGAAGTGCTACCAGGTGTAACGGGGCACCCTGAAGCTTGTACTGGTGACAGTACAAGCTACTTATTCTGATGACAGAATAAGGCGGTGCCTCGTAACTTCACGTACACTCGTACGTGCAGAGGAAGACGGTAAGAAGAAGCGAGTACTTGGTTAAAGTTAAAAGTAGAACTGTATTTATCATAGTTAATGTCTGCAATAAATCACTATTTATCTTCATCTAACTATGTCTGAATGCAAATGTGCATATCAACTATCTGCTCACCACTCATTACGTGCATCTGTCGTGGCGCGTCTTCGTTGGATGATATAATGGCCTATATCAACCAATTAGGAACTACTTGTAAGTGCTACAGAATATTTGTCCTTATGACAATATTCTGAGAATATAACTCTTATAGTTACATTCTATTAACAATTTCTTATAAATTGTTATGCAACGATTCACCCCGTTACATAATTGGTGTAAGCAATGACCACGACTTGTGTTTTACAAATTACTGTTTCTATTTAGTGTGTCTGCTAGCGACTGTAGAGATACTGCTGCCAATGTGACAGCAACATCAATGAACCTCTGATGCGGTCCGCATAGTTGTGCTTCATATCAAATGGAAGTCACATTGGCCGACACTAATACGACCGAGGGCACCAAAGGAGTCTGGGGAGTTACACAACAAAGCCAGTCCGTGATCCTGTCTATGTCTCATACTTCTGCTTGTACTTTGAAGAAAGAACACAGTGCATGAGCATATTTACAGCATGATCAGCTCTCTTTCAATCTTCAGTGGTGCTGCAGGAAGTGTCAGCCACTAGAACTTTATCCTATCACACATCAAGATCTGATATTTGACAAGGACGCACGCCAAAGATCAAGATCCACCGATTTGCGGATGTGTGCAATCTGAAGAGCAGCACTAAATGACGTCATGAGTTGCGATCTAACGTCAAGCTAGCGTCATTGGCCCTGATTTGAGCCTCTCAACTGGGGTCAGACTCTTGCCACTCTGCAGCATACCCTCAATTCAACACACTAACGCAACCATGCGATTCCACTCCATCACGGCTGTTGCTGCAACCGTCGCGTATCTCCAGCGTCCTTCTGGGGTATCCGGTTTTGCTACGGCAGATGTGAACGATCCGACTCCGGCTCTTGACAACCACACCGCCGTTGTCGATAAAATGAGCTTGCGGGCTCCAGACGCCATAAATGGAGAAGAGAGGACACTAAAAGACGTAATGGTTGAGCTAGTTCGCGCGGTCGTGAGTTGCACTCACCCGTCCGAGTTTTGGAAGACCCTATTGAATGGAGGGAAATCGATCGCCGAGCACGAACATGAATTGTTCTCAGGGCCGACGAACCGATTTGAATCGCCTTCCCAGCTGGTCGATGATCTTTTGCAGCACTGGTGGGATCACGGTAGATCCATTGACGACCTCGCGAGGTCACTGAAGCTATCGATTGACACTCGCGAAACCGTTGATTATTTCAAGACTGGCGACTTTCGCAAGATGGAGGTGCTAGAATTCTACATCAGCTTTGTCAACGTGAAGAAAGGAGGCAAGCATAAGCTGATTGAGACGCTGACGAAGAACTTCGGTGACCTGCACCTGTCAACACTCTTGATGAATTCGATCCGATCTCGCAATCCGGATACCGCTGGTCGTGCAGCACAATTGCAGCAAGAAATGATGACAGGCTGGGCGAAGAGAAAGCTGACCGGTGAAAACGTGTGTGCCATGATGGAGCTCGAGAAGAAAGGGATAGATTTTTTTTTACCAGCACCGAGCTCTTGACATTGGAACGATATGTGGAGCATCTTCAGCTAGAACGCGTGCTGTACAAGGCTGACTTCGTACGGCTCCGGGATGGAACTGAGATGAGTCAGGATGACTTTGAGCTGCTCCAAAATCAAATCGTTCTGAACATTTTGACCGAAGCTTTTGGTGGCGAAGAGGAATTTGCAATGCTCGCTAGCGCAAAGCTTATCAAGAGTCATCATCCGATGGTCGGAAAGTATCTAGATACGTTGCTGCTGCGCTGGAAGATGGCACAGATAGAGCCAGACCATTTGTTTAAGACCAAGTTCTTAGTGATGCATCCAACAGAAGGCCAAAGCAGAACGGTGGCATTTATTCGCCGCCGTTACCACGGATTCTTTTATCGGGACATCTATTCATTACCGATAATCGTGCGAACTCAAATGCGTCACCGGGGAATCAGTTAGAAGGTGTCTGGACTCTTGCTTTTGACACAAGTCTATAGGTTCCCGACTTTGTCAAAAATCTACACAATCGTTCTTGGCTAGCTGTCGTGTTTAATATCACTTGCATTCTATGGCCGCTGAGGCTGTCGAGGCACAATAACTAATTTGCCTCGAGCCGAACGTTGTCCGAGTATAGTTCGATCGTACAGTTTGGCCAGCGGGGGTTCGAACGTACCGCACGCTTTCAACAGATCTCGGCGGGTGATCATTTATAGATTGATATCGATCATAGCAAATGCAATCGAAGACGAGAAGGCGTTGAAGATGAATGGTCTGGTCTTCCTCTCGTACTAAAGCGGTTAATGCCAGCCTTGTAGACGATATACCACATCAATGCAAATTGCGCTTTCTTCTCGAGAAGCGATTTTGCTTTCTCCGGCAGTCTCCGAAGACTTTCAACCAAACTCACACTCCTGTCTCTATCTTTTCGCAGTACCGTTTTCTTGTCATAGGTGAGCTTTTTTAATGCAAACTTAGTCGATTCCGGCACAAGATCATGTTCCCCGACACAGGGAACTCTTAATGCTGGTGTGTTTGCATCAGGTAATAACGTTAATACTTTGTTGAGTCTGTAACATTCCAAAAAGTCTAAGACTCACTGGCAAACACGCTTTACGATGGTGATTATGCTCAAAGAGCCACGTGTATTCAAATCACATTAAGCTCATTCGTTTCGTCACGTCTTTCATTCCACTTGATTAGACAACCACGATCGTAAACGATACGCTTGATGAAAGCCACAACCATCGAATTCGTAGTAGGCGAGACGCACCGGTGCAAAAGCTGCTACGTTTTTTCTAGCTTAACTTATACTGAAATGAATCGCATTCTTGCTCGATAAGTATCTCACGCATTCGTGACTACATCCACTCCGATTTTTATCAATTGGAATCCGTAGCCATCGGTACTGAGCCATGACTGGCTGAACGGAAGCAGCCATTATACATCGACTCGGTTGACGATGTAGGCATTTGATACGCAAAGGTTCAATCGGGCGACGACGCTTCATCGTACAGTGCAGCATTTAAAGTAAATGGATGATCTTGTAAAACAGGGCTTTAAATTCACTGAGCACACTAGTACATCTAGCGTAACGGGGTTACACGTAGTTGGGTACTTGGTACCCTGTGTCTTGGACACACAGATGATATCCCACTGAAAGAGATATAGAATATCTTATCAGTTTATAGGGGCTGACTGGTGTCAGCCACTAGATAGGAGAGATTTTAGAGGCACTGACTTAGGACATAAGTGTACAGATTAGGATTAAGATATTCGATAGGTTTAAATGTAAATGAATTTCAGTTCCCCTTTTGATCATAAAGACACGTGCATTACGAGGCGTCTTTGGTCGTTGATTGCTGATCACTTAGAGTTAGCAACCCATCCCTGAGGTAACTAGTTGTTTTTGAGCACTGAGTGCTGTCGATTCATCGAATCGTTTGGTCCCCTGGAACAAGGACCATAAGCGTTACGCTTGTTGACTCATTGAGTCTAGTTCTCTAAAAATAACTTTCTCGTTGAGCGTTAATCCTTCTCTGACACACGGAGCTGTGTAGCTCCGCTACACTTGGTAGCACTTGTAGTCAATCTACGCATGAGTCTATCTAGACTGATCGTTTGTGAGGATAAAAAACCCGCTCCCTTCTCTGAGGTCCAAAAGGTCGCTCTTGATAAGCTGACCGCATCTTTGGGTCCAAAGTACGTGGAGTTCCTTGTCTCACAAGGCCCCGAGGTGCTCAGTGCACGTGTTGAAGGCTTCATGCAGTATGAAGCGACCCTTTTAGGGCAGGTCCAGGACCAAATAGCGTCGGATATGCCTACACGCTACGTGTCTGTACCAGACGAAGAGGATAGGCCTCGTCCACTTAGAGTGGAAGTGAAAAACTACTCCGGTAAGGAGGGTGAGAACCTCATCCTCTGGATCCGTGAGATCGAGATGGCCATGAGATCAGGCCTGATCACGCTTGACCATCAACAGGTCTCGCTGGCTATCTCGAAGCTCGGTGGAAGAGCTAGAGAATGGGCCTTGACGTGTAGCACGTCGGTTGACTTAGCGTTTCCCACATGGGTGTCGCTAAAGTCACAATTGGTGCAGATGTTCTCACCACCTAACTAGGCTTACCGCGTGCGTTCACGCTTTCTTTCTACCCGCCAGGGTAAGAATGAATTATCGGACTATGTCTAAGAGATGAGAACGCTCATGGCTGCAATGCAGTCTGACCCTCTGCCTGAAGCAGTCCATGTGACTATCTTCATGGAAGGTCTTCGTACTGGCATTGCCAGAACCGAGGTATTTCGGGTTCACCCCTCTACGTTTGAAGAGGCTGTGAGAATTGCTCTTAATGCTGAGCATAACTTCAACTCGATCAGGCTTGGCTGGAATGGGTACAACTTTGGATCTGCTAGAGCAAGCTCCACTAGTAATCCGGCTTTTATCAGGCCGGAATAGATGGATCTCAGCTATGCTGAAGTTGAGAGTGAATTGAACTTCAACCTGCTGAGCAGCAACGCGTCATACGACGATATTTTATGTGTGAAAGCAAACAAAAACCCTTCCAGAATGGTTGCCCTTTGCATAGACAGCGTCAGGCTACTAGTCGACACTTTACCCCGAGCCAGAAGTCTGGCATGGAACGGGGAAATGCCGACGCCCAGTAGGCGCGAAGCGCCCTACTGGTGAAGAATTAGGTTCTGTTACACATTTAGGAGGTTAAGTTAAACAGAGCTTAGCCCCGAAGATTTCCGTACCTATTGATATGAAGCGTGGATAGAAGTCTGGCTTGTTAGTCGCCGAGGCGAAAATTATGGGCTTTGAAAGGCCTTGGTCGATATTGATCGACTCAGGAGCGTCTTGCAATTATGCTCAACGTCGTTCCCTTGAAGGAATTCAGCGTTATGCTGAGGCACTTACAGCGCATGAGGATGATTCTATCACGGCTCATTAAGCGACTGGAAGTCGTGTTGCTGTGTCTAAAGTTCCATTGAACTTAGGTATCAAGTGTTGATACTTTGACAGCATTGAACGCTGTCTTGTCCTTGATGTATACTCACAATATGATCTCATTCTTGGTATGGCTTGGCTTGAACGCCATGATCCATGGATTGATTGGAGGTCTAAGACCTTAGGCGCCAGGCGCAACGTTCCAAGTGAAGTTTTGGAGAGTCACGAACCCACCTTCGCTAGGCAACAGAAGATCTAATGGCGCGAGCCTTTGGCAGATGATGGCAATGTTCTGGACATTGGAATGTCTGAGTTGCCTAACTCCAATTTTGTAAACATAGATTCCGAGCGTAGCTCGTTAAATGCCGGTGATTAGCACGTACTCCATTGATTGTTGCTCGTTGTAGTAACGAGTCACTGCATGCTGAAAGCATGGTTGGCCTAGGGCCGAATTATCAAGGATGTGATTCCTTTGATGTGTGTGAGGTGGTACGTGAAAATTCTTTGAGTGCGGTCGGCTGTGAGGGCACCGCACATGATGTAGGTAATGACATTGTTGGCAAAACGCCGTTCAGTGTAGGCGGCTAGGCCACGAACTCTAAGGCGTTGTAGGCGACGCTTAGTGTGGGCGGCCGTGAGGGCATCACACCTGAGTAGAAGATACTGTTGGCGATTCGCAACGTATAGTGGGACGCCTTGGGCACCACACCTGATGTCGGTCAAGACATAGGCTCTCGTATAGAGCGTACTACTATTAGTAGTAGTAAAGGGGGCATTATTGTCCCGACCCCTAAGGGTGTAAGGTCTTCAAAAGACGTTATGGACGTCAGGTGGCAACTGTTAAGCGCCAGGCGTCCACACAGTCACATAGTGATGATAGCAATACAATATATACGCTTGTGAATGGAGTGACTGGTCAGGTTGATGGCAATGTGAGCTTTGACACCCTTCCATCTTTAGATGCTCTGTGTGAGCTTGACGAAATGTATGACAGCGAGTTTAGCCAGGCCTTACAGGCAGGAGTTATATTCGAATTAGTGGTCATTCAACCCAATGTCGAGTTGAACTCGTCCTCATTAAAGGATGAGTCTGTCCTATACGACACAAAAGCGGCACTTAGTGCGCGCAGTGGATCTTCGATTCCAAACGATTCTTTAAATCCATTTCATCCTTTGGTTTAGGAATTTAAAGATGTGGTGTGTCACAACCTACCGTCTGTTTTACCACCTGATAGAGGTGAATGACTTAGTTCCAGGAACTAAATACCGCTTAAAAAGGCAGTGGCCATTGCCTAAGGAACAGTGTGACGTCATTGATGACTTCTTTCGTGCTAAGCACGCGGCTGGAATGGTCATTTATAGTAAATCTTCCCATTCAACACCGACATTTTGTGTCAAAAAGCCAAATGGCAAGTGGCACATTGTGCATGCCTAAAATTAGCCTAATGCAGCAACTATACCGGCGCAGACGCCTTTTCCTGATAAAGAATGTTCTTAAGAACAATATGTTAAGGTGTACATTGTAAAGTGCATTCGACCTAGTCGATGAATATTACCAGCTTCTCATGCGAGCAAGTGATATTCCGCTAACTGCGGTGAGTACTTCGAGCTGTATGCTATGGTAGTGGCTCGTTATGCCACAAGGGCTGTCGTACGCCCCGGCTACTTTTAACCGTCTAGTGACGCAACTCAATCGACCACAGACGTGCTTTGACGACATATTTGTCCATAGTCGTGCAACGAATGGTCGATCAGATGCGGATAACCACATTGATCATTTACGAGCGATTCTCGAGTGCATGCGCACGAATAAATTGAACGCTCACGCGTCTAAGTGCATCTTTGTTGCAGAAAAATTTCTTTTTCTAAGGTGCTATTTGGAAAGCGAGGAATTCGAGCGGACCCCGCTAAGGTCAAGGTCATATTCGATTGGCCGGTTCCTAAGAACTGAAAGGACTTACGTTAGTGGCTTGGCCTTGCCAATTACTTGCATAAGTATAGTGCAGATTACGCGTACA